TGTCTCCTTCCTGGGGCTCTAGCAGGGCTGCAGGGGATGGGGGTCCACTCTACACTCAGCAAAGCCTAGCACAGATATGGGGGGTTGGGGCCGAGTCTGCCCAGACCCGGGGAGTGGGCTTCCCACACAGGAGGTCCCAGTGGCGTGACCTGGTAGAGGCTAGCCCTCCCAGGCCCTGGCCCACAAGTGCTGCCAGGAGGGCAGGCAGCAGCAGGCCTGGAGAGCTGGCCAGGCTGGAGTTCGAAGGAGGCACTTACCAGGGCCACGGGTACAGGGCACTCCTCAGCCGCCTGGGCAGGCCAGCAGCTCCCAGAGCAGTGGTGTGTGCAGCTCCCCCACTTCCTGCCTGTGTCTCAGATTTCGTCTCAACCCCCAACAGCAGCCGCCACCACCGCTGCAGCCTCACCCAACTGCTGCACCCCAGGTGGGGCCCAGATAACACTCAGTGGGTGTGTGCTTCGAGCCCCCATGGTTTGAGGCTACCTCTCTGTCTCCACCCACAAAGAGGTGGGCACACACTGGGAGGAGACAGGTCACCAAGCACCGGGGGGTAAATCCAGGCTCTCACGCCCATCCACCAGGCCCTCCTGCTCCGTAAGCAGTGCTCTGAGGGCCTGAGCTGGCAGCGCCCCCACCAAGCTCCACAGTCTGTGTGTGTTGGGCCACATGGGAACCCCCCTGGGAGACCAGGGAAGACGACAGTCCCACTGGGCCCTCTGCCTCTGGGCTCACTGGGGACTCCTCCAGCCCAGCCCCACTGCCCCACGCACAGACACCTCTCCCCACATACCACAGCCAGCCGCGCCACCACTAAAAGACAGCGACAAAGTCACTTTAATGTCCTTGATAAGCAGACACTGGCAGGGGGGCTCTGTGGGCACGTGAGCATCAAGACGTGACCCCTGTACCCAATCTCCACTCAGCAATGTCCGCACACCCCGGCCTGGCAATAGGCTGACCGTGAGGTCTGGTCTGGGGGTGGTCCCTCTTCTGTCGGCATCTAGTTATTGGAGGACAGCAGGTCTTCCGGAGGCTGTGGGAGCTGGAGCCGAGCCCTGTCCCTGGCACATGCTGGGCTCTAGAACTCTGTCATCTTCTTGTGGGTGTCCGCCTTCCTCTGCTCCCGCTGCAGGCCCGCTTCCTGGGCCCGGAGCTGCCCCAGCTGCCGCTGGGCTCCTGCCAGCTTCTCCTGCAGCTGGGCCACGGTCACGCTGTGCCTAGAGAGAGGCTGCCACTCAGCAGGGGCTCCCGGGCCACTGCTACAAAGACCCCAGGATGCTGTGGCCCCTGCCAGGCACCCTCCCACCATGCAGACCCTCCTCAGACCCAGCTCACCACCTTCAGGTCAGGGCGACATCCTGCAGACGAACTGCACTGGGCGCCCAGAGCAGGGCCGGAGGCATGGCCACCCTGGGCCCATCCTCTGCCCCAAGTTCAGCCCCACACATACCGGCCAGTGTTGCGGGCGAGGGCCTCCTGGATGCCCCGGATGTCCCGCTGGGCCTGCTCAATCTTCTCCTCGGTCTGGAAGAGCCGCAGGCTCAGGGCCCTCTTGGTGCCCTTGCTGGCATGGTACAGCTCCTTGCCACTTCTCCTCCCAGGGGTGGCAGCTCCTGCCTCCAGGGTCCCAGGAGCCTGGCCCTGCAGCTTCTCATTCAGAAAGTCAAACACGCTCCGAGGGGGCGGGCGGCCCTCAGGCCTGCCTCCTCTGCCCCGGTATTTTGGGGCCCGACTAGTGCCAGCCTTGCTGCCCTTGGTCCTCTTCTGTAGGATCTCTGCACACTGGTCCAGCGACTTCCCTCGAGGCAGCACCACAGCGTGGATGGGCTCCACCCGGCCATCCGAGTGTCGGCCCAGACCTGGAGGCACACGGGCTGGCACTGCTGCTGGATCCACTCCCACCACCCTGCACTGTGCAGAGGCAACCCAGCCCTGCCCCAGGGCAGCACCCACTCACTCACCCTTGCCAAACTCATAGCCCATCTTGGCGAGCAGCCTGGAGCCGATGCCCCGCGTGTGCACCTCCCAGCCCGCAAAGACAGAGCTGCAGGCCCCGTGGTCGGTGGCGCCGGGTTCCACCACTGCAGGAAACAGGGCAGGGACTTGGCCCAGCTGCACAGGGAACACCTGGGCTCTGGCCAGCGTTAGCCCAAGAGCTCAGTCCTCTCTCCATCCCATGGACACGGGGTTTCAGAAACCACCAACACATGGGACAGTCCTACAGGGATGCCTCCCGTCTTCTTCCTCCCTGACCCCTCAGGGGGCTGGACACTGAAGCTCCCCAGCCCGTGGCTGTCTACAGCCCCCCGCCCCCCGCCCCCATCCACCACTAGACCCCAGGCCCTGAGTGGAAGCCCCAGAAGGAGCTGCTGCTTCCTGCTCTCTGTTCAGCTGGGCTTCCTCAGTAGTGGCCCACCCTCAGGTTGCACCATGGGGGACATGTTTGCACACGAACTCCTTGACGACAAGGGACAGGTCTTTGCGTCTGCAGGTTTGCGGACCTGCCCAGACCCCTCACACATGCTCTCATCCTCCCACCTCCTGTGGGGGCCTCGCTGTCTCTCCAGGCCCAACTAGTGCCCCCTGCTGTGTGTCATGCACTAGGCAGAGCCCCCCTCACCCGCGGTCACGCTCTGCCTTTCTGCTTAGGTGGTCAAAGTCCCCACCAGCCAGGAACTTCCTAGGGAGACTGCTGCCCAAGATGCTCCTTGCCCTGTACCTCTGGCATAGCTGGAATCGTCCGGGTCACCACTGTCTGAGTCAGAGGATACTGCAGGCTCTGGGCGCAGTGGGGGAAGGATGCTGTCCCCCTCCAAAACGGCCTCCTTCAACAGCAGCGAGTCAAACTTGACTGTGTAGTAGCCGCTGTCCATATCTGGAAGCAAGGGCAAAGACAAGGTCAGTGGCTTCACAGGTGGTTGGAGACTCACTGGAAGTTGGGAGCAAGACGGGCAAGGCCGGGGGCACTCTCACTCCTCTTGGGCACAGAGCAGGGACCTGACACCCAACCAAAGGAGTGGTCAGAGGGGATTAACACGTATGAGGAATGGTGGGACCTTCCAGAAGGGCCTGAGGGAGGCCCATGGGCAGCCTCACCAGTGATCCGTGCTGGGTACCAGAGACCATCTGGTTGCTTGGCCAGACATGCAGAACCAGCCTGCAAGGAGCTCAGGTCCGGGTCCTGGAAGGGGCGCAGCTCATCCACAGGGACCACCTGCCCATGGGAGAACCTGCAGAGAGGGCCGCAGGGGCCGGGGCTCAGACACAGCCCACAGGGGGCATGTGAGCCCCAGAGAACCAAGTCTAACTATCTGGGCGTAGCCCTCAAGGAAGGGAAACAGGGAAACAGAACACACACAAACACGCGTCCACACATACACACATACATACCGTTTGTACACATCCATACACACATGTGCACACACTTGTGCTGTCTCACTCTCGCTCTTGGGATGGACATGGCCCCTCTGAGGATGAGACTGCTCTCAGCTTTCTGGGCCAGGGGGACAGTGTGGCTGGCATAGTGCCCCATCGCCTCCACCAGACACAAAGCCCCAGACGCAACCGGGAAGCAGGGCAGGTGTTTGTGTGCTTATGTGGTGAGTCCTCCCCAAACCAATTAGCACAACCCACTTATAACAGTGGTGCCTTGACTTTCAGAGATCAATGCACCAGTGAAATTAAAACTAAAACAGAGAGAGAGAGTGAGAGAGAGAGAGAGAGGAGAGAGAGAAAGAGGAGGAAATGCGAGGATTGCAACCTTTACTTTGCCAAATAAAGACATGAGAAAACCAACCACAAATCAACCCGTATGTGCCATCACTTCCAGAGGAAGTTGCTTTAACCAGGAGAGCAGCCAGGCCTGGCATCTGCCCATGACACGGGGCCATGCTGGGCACGGCTGTTTTTGAGGCAGGAATTGGTGGTGACAAAGAGGGAGAGGGAACAAAGGCGGAAGGCGTTTGTCTGGCAGATACAGAGGGTCTCAGGGCAGCTCCTTCTCACACCTGGCTGTCCTCAGGCACCCAGGGAGCTGCCAATGGCCGAATGGCACCAGCAGCTTCAAGTCTGGGCTCCAAATGGACAGCAGTAGAGTCTGTGGTTAAAACGCCCTGATCAAACGAGAAGCAAAACCGCTTGTTCAAAAGGGGGGACTAAACCCAGGTGAATGCAACCAAATACCGCCTTGGAGACACACACACATTCAGACTCACCCATGCACACAGATAGAGGCCTACATCCACAGACACCACCACTTAAACCTCTCTATAGGAACCTTCAGCAACATTAGAAACCTTAAAATTTGGTACATTCCTTAAACCTAGCAAGCACTTCAAAAAATTTTTGTAAAAAATAATGGAAGTATGCAAAGATTTAGCTATAGGGATGTTGACTGAATACTAAAGACTTAGAAATAGCCTACATTTCCACCCACGGGAGTAGTTAATGGCAAATCTATGAAATGGTTTGAAGCCTAAGAGAACGGGGTAAACTGACAGATGGGATGAAGAGAGCTCGACGGGAGCTGCACGCACACAGAAAACTTCACATTTAACAGGAAGTGTTAGAAACGAGTCAGGAAAAGAGGGACTGTGCGTTTCATAAGGAAACAACTTAAAATTGCTTTTTCATATTTAAAAAAAAAAATTTGCCCAGCCAGTGTGGCTCAGTGGTTGAGCACCGACCTATGAACCAGGAGGTCACGGTTTGATTCCGTCAGGGCACATGCCCAGGCTGCAGGCTCAATTCCCAGTGTGGGGCGTGCAGGAGGCAGCTGATCGATGATTCTCTCTCATCATTGATGTTTCTATCTCTCTCTCCCTCTCCCTTCCTCTCTGGGGGAAAAAAAAAATACACACACACACACACACACACACACACACAAACACCTCTAAAATATATTTAAAAATTAAAAAAAAACACACAACTCAATCGCCACCTCACAACAGTCACAGAAACACATGCCAGAGTCTCAAACATGTGACCCCGAGAACAAGCTTAGGACCGCATTCCCCGAGTCCAGCTGGCCCAGTGCAGAGGGACTGAGCCTTTGCCACAGGAGAGCAAGGCTAACACTGGGCAAAACTGTCCAAACGCACAGCTTCTGAGCTCTGGAAGCTGACGGCAGCAGTGATGCCTGGATGGGGGTGTCTGCAGCATCCCCTGCAAAGCAGCAGGCGCAGAGGGTGGAAGTGGGGAAGACGGTAAAAACCAGGGCCTTGTGGCTAAAAGTGATGAAACCAATGAAAACTACCAGAGAACGGACAGGTCTGAAAGGGCCGCAGAGGGCTCCACTCTGCGCGCATCCTTTCTATGGAATGTTGCGCATGAATCAGGAGCTCTAAGACGTGCCAGGACAAAGGAAAAGTGGGGGTGAGGGGGCGCTGAGCTAGGAATGACACTCCCAACTCACATAGATGGACTGGGAAGGAGGTGTTTGCGCACAGTCTCCGACTAAGTTCTGGCGGACCACTCAGCTGCAGAGTACTGCCTAGGAAGCCAGATTGAAAAGTAAAATTAAATGTAAAATCTGAGCAGAGCCATCAGAGGCTGCACACTAGGGCAGTGGGCAGACTGTAAGTTAGGTCCAGAAAATGTACCAACATAAAACATTGGGAAAAACAATTCAGAATCCAGAGTTCCTAAAATATATCTGAAACGTCCAGTTTTCAATAAAAATTTATGAGACATGCAAACCAACAGAAAAGTGTGACCCATATTAAGGAAAAAAAGCAGTTGATAGGGTCTGACTGAGTGGGCCAAGATGGTGAATCTAACAAAGACTTCAAGGTAGAGAGTATAAGTATGTTAAAGGAACTAAATGACAGTATAATGATGACGATTCAATAAATAGGGCATCTTAAAAGAGAAGTATAAATTATATAAAGAATCAAATAGAAATTCCAGGGCTGAAAAGTCAATGCTGAAATGAGAAATCACTCAGTGGGACACTCCGGTCACCAGTCTAGCATATAAGAAGTGAGGAAGTCATCCCTCTGTCCTAACAAAAAGTGCAATGAGTCCAGCCAGCGGGGCTCAGTGGTTGAGCGTTGACCTATGAAGCACGTCACCAGAGACCTAGGTTTAAGAAGAGAGAATTATTCATAGGTATTAGAAAGCTTCCCTTCATTACTCACCACCATGTCACTAATGGCCTGTTTATAACAGTTCTTTGTAGCCAGTACTTTGTGTCTAGCTATCAATAAAATAATTACAAAGCACACTAAAATATACTGTATACCAAAATATGGATAATAGAATCCTAAAAAAAGAGGGAGAGAAAGGGACAGAAATAATGTTTGCAAAATTGAAGAATAATGGCTGAAAGCTTCCCAACTTTGATGAGAGATATGAATCTATACATCCAAGTAGTATAAAGTAAAAGAGACCCACACCAAGACAAACTGCTAAGACCCAAAGACAAAGACAGCATCTGAAGGAAGCAAGGGAAGTGGCTTTTCAGGGATGAGGATCCTCAGTAAGACTAACAGCTGATTTCTCATCAGAAACTATGGAAGCCACAGGCAGTGGGATGACATATTTAAAGTCTTGAAAAAAAAATGCTGTCAGACAAGAATCATATTTCTGGCAAAACTATCCTTCAGAAATGAAGGAGAAATGAAGACATTCCCATGTAAACAAGAGCTGAGGGAATTTGTCACTGGTAGACTTGCCTACAAGAAACGCTAGTCTGGCTGGCGTCGCTCAGTGATTGAATGTCGACCTATGAACCAGGAGTTCATGGTTCAATTCCTGGTCAGCCCACATGCCCAGGTTGCGGGCTCGATCCCCAGTAGGGGGCCTGCAGGAGGCAGCTGATCAATGATACTCTATCATCATTGATGTTTCTAACTCTCCCTCTCCCTTCCTCTCTGAAATCAATTAAAAAGAGAAATGCTACAGGGCATTCTTCAGACTGTAATGAAAGGACAGACACTGGTCAGTAACTCAGGCCGTATGAGCACTGGAAGAGGTAATCAGAGGCAAACAGAAGAGCAGTATTAAAATTTTTTGTTTGCAACTTTTTTTCCTATGTGGTTTCAAAGACAAATGTATAAAGCAGTAATCACAAACCTACACTTCTGGGCACACAATGTATAAAGGTGTAATTTGTAACAGTAACAACATAAAGGGGACTGCATAGTAGTTTTGTGTCCTACTGATGCTAACTCGGTATTGATTCAAACTAGACTGTTGTAAATTTACAATGTTAATCACAATTCCGAGAGTAACCATTAAGAAAATAACACAGAATAGAGGGTGGGGCAAAAGTAGGTTTAGAGTTGTGAGTATGTGAAATACAGAGTTTATTCTTGTATTATTAGTTATTAATTTTTGTATTATTTTCCATACAAGCAACTGTAAACCTACTTTTGTCCCACCGTGTTTGCAGAAAAGGAGAAAGGAATCAAAATGTTACAATAGGGACCTAGCCAATTTGGCTCAGTGGATAGAGCATTGGCCTGTGGACTGAAAGGTCCTGGGTTCAACTCCAGTCAAGGGTGCGTACCTCAGCCCCAGTCAGAGTGCATGCAGGAGGCAACCAATCTATGTGTCTCTTTCACATCAGTGTTTCTCTTTCTTTGTCTCTCTCTGTCCTTGGGTGAGGATTGACAACAACAAAAAGACAACAGTGGAAAAAACAAACACTAAAAAGGCTGTAATGGAGGAATTGAGAAACAAAAAGATGAGACACATAGGAAAAGAAAACTCAGAGGCAAGTCCTTGCTTATCATAATTATTTATTTTGCATACTGTTCTTTTTTAATTAAATGTTTTTACTGACTTTAGAGCGAGGAGAGGGAGAGAGAGAAACACTGATGAGAGAGTAACATTAATAAGCTGCCTCCTGCACGCCCCCTACTGGGGATTGAGCCCACAACCTGGGCATGTGCCCTGATTGGGAATTGAACCAGTGACTTCTTGGTGCATGGGACGATGCTGAACCACTGAGCAACACCAGCTGGGCTAACTTTATTTTAAAAAAATATTTTTTATGTTTTATTGGTTTCAGAGAGAGGAAGGGAGAAGGAGAGAGAGAGACGGAGCCCGCAACCCGGGCATATGCCTTGATCGGGAATCGACCATGGCCTCCTGGTCCATTGGTCAGTGCTGAACCACTGCACCACTCTGCCTGGCCTTTATTCTTATGTTTAACTTAAAAAATAATTCTCACCTAAGGATATTTTGTTTTTTTAATATTTTATTGAGTTTTTTACAGAGAGGAAGG